AGGAGCTTCTAGAAAAATTAAGGAGCTTTTAGAAAAATTGAGGAGCTTCTAGAAAAATTGAGGAGCTTCTAGAAAAATTAAGGAGCTTCTAGAAAATTCGTAGATCGTTTGGAAAAATCGTAGAAGTTCTAGAAAAATTAACGGACTCGGAGAAAAATTGCTGGACCTGGAGAAAAATTGCCGAACTCGGAGAAAAAATTGCCGAACTCGGAGAAAAAATTGTCGAACTCGGAGAAAAATTGCCGGACTCGGAGAAAAATTGCCGGACTCGAAAAAAAATATTTTCCCAGCCCGTTGCTTCAATTGCAGGATAACCAGCTTTCAGCATGCTTTCCCCGTACTTCGTGCATAACGCGCAGGCATCATAAACGCCGAAAGATCTGCGTCGCAATTAATCACAGTTCATTCCAGAGAACATACGACATTCCTGCCGATGTGAACATTAGCCTAAATTTTTTTATTGCACGCTATCCCAAATGTTCTTATTGCGCGCTATCCGCGCGGCGACCTAGCGGCGACCTTATTGCAATTTCTAATCAGCGCAAACCGGAGCCTACGAACGCAAGAAAGAAAGTCTATCAGTCATTCCGGACGTGTCCATATAGTAAAAAGAAGAAAAAAAAGCACACGTTTCGCGAGCCGTCGAACAGCGCCGGGGCGTCGGTTAATGTCTCCGTGAAAGGGCAAAAAGGGAAGAAAAAAGAGAGGAGAGAAAGAAAGGAAGCGCGTCGAATCGATGGCGATTAAATATTCGTGAGCGGGGTCCGTCACGTTTTTTCCAGGAAGATATAAACATCGGTGTCGAAGGTAAGGAAGCTTTGATAAACCGTTTCACGGTCGGCCGGCGACGGCGTCGGCGTCGGTGGCGTTGCGTGCGACGCCAGGCGTCGGTCTAGGCGTCGCGGCGCCTCGGCGTACCCCTCCGTCTGTCAGCCGGAGAGTACTTAGGGTTGCAGCCTCGAAGGTAACCGCACACGTGTATTTATACGCGAGGCGTAACGCCGCGAGCGATCGAGCGAGCGGCCGCGGCCCCGTCTTCTGTCGCTTTGCGAGCTACGAGGAATCGCCGCGGCACGCACAGAAGAACCATTTTCTATTTCAGCCCCCTGGGTGCGTGGCCCAGCCGGTAAAGAGA